AAATAAACGATAGATGTCCATAAATTATCTTGACCTCGTCACACACCCAAGGCCCAAATTGGTCTGGGGCCCAAATTCAGCCGGGCAGAAATTTGGTGACCTAATACATTTGATACCACACATGTATGGGATCGGGGCCCAATTCGTCCGGGGTTCAGCATCACCTGGGGCCCACATTTGATGCTATATAACATTCCTGGGGACATGTTGGTTAATTTGATACCACGTGTGGGCCCGAGGCCCAATTCGCCCAGCGCCCATATTCGATTACCTGCGGCCTATTTCACGAAATTTTAACTAAGATAAAATCCAAATTTTAGTAATTTGATTGGATAATATTAGATTGATTTTAGTGCTTAGTCGATCAAAATTGAAGTATCTACTAAAATTGGATTTTATTTTTAGTTAAGATTTCGAGAAACTGAGCCCTGATTCATTCACGTGGCCATGCTGTTTAATTTTATACCACATATTATGTGAAGCGTGATGAGCGAACATACCCCCCCCCCCCCACACACACACACATAGTTTGATTCTATTTACAAATGTATATAGATTGTATATGTTCACACATAATTCTTAATAGATGTCTAGACACGTTACAAAGGTTAAACATGTTTCTGCTGAAATTATTGAAACTTAAAAGATCTCTATGGATGTAATAAATTTGAAATTTTTTTTTAGCTCAACTATTTGATTGTGTCTTAGCCTACAATTTGGATTGATATCTTTGAGGGAACGTTGATTTTGTGACACCCCGCCCCACGCCTAATTAGGTAACTGTGGGAACTTTTCTCGTTTATGTTATTAATAGTAATGAACGTGATTTGAAGAAAATATCCGCCGAATTTGTGAAGTCTTGTCTATGGTGTTTATCAATTTTGTGGAATCTTTAAACGGGGAATGATCCTTGAATTTTCGAGGATGCGTATTAATGTAATGGTGTTGATCATTTATTTGAAATCTTTAACCGGGAAAATTCTCCCCATTGCTAGTAATGAAAGGTTTTTTTTTTGGAAAACAATGACCCTTGAATTGTTGAATGTTCCTATTAGTGTAATGGTGCTGATCATTTATATGGAACCGGGAATATTCTTCTCATTGCTAGTAATACATGTCTTTTAAAGATAAGGCCCCTTGAATTGTCGAGCGTGCCTATTAGTATAATAATGTTGATTTAACGTTATCGGTTGTCATTATCAGCCGGCTGTTTCTATCGCCGGTCCCCACTAGACAGAGTTCTGTATGGTTTATAGTTGACATTTGTTGTTTATTATGTGTGTGTAGAGAGTAAATTATTATCACATGTTGTCAGGAAACACGGTAATAGTCTTGAAGAGATGTGGGCTGGTACTAATATACAGCACATATACATAAACTTCCTGTCTGTGACTAATCCCCATAACTCTTGTTAAATTATACAGTATAGGCTATCACACGTAATACTATAATAATACAAGATAATAAATCATCATTAATTGATAAAAGAAGATCTATACCATAAGTTAATATGGCGGTCTCTTCAGCTATAGATAGTCTAGAAAATAGTGTAAATGTTGATATTTATAGGTTAAATACTCTACATATATCCATTGGTTCAGAGTGTCACTGTGGCCGGCCAGTGGGTCTGGCGCTCGGTGTTGGCCGGGAACAGTCCCTCGGGAATTGTACAGTCTGGAGAGTCCCATTTTGAGTGGTGCGGGACAAAGTTCCTGTATACGTAAAAGAACTGTTAACAGAATTCGATGAAGGCAGTACGTCGCTGTCTGGACAAAATGTCAAAAAGGAATATACATATAATATTCCTCTCTGTTCCCTGAGCAATGTGTTTCTTCAGTTGATTTCCATTCCCACAGATACAATTTGTTTCATCGACTTTAATTTACAATGTTTTATTTACGCCATGTATTGTTATAAAAGGTGATCTTATCCACCGCGTCCAGACGTATACGTGGTTATTATATCAAATAACAATAGACACATATTTCAACGAACTGCGTACTCAGTCTGGCTTCATTTCACATACCAAAACCCAGCAAGTCTTATAGAATCTCACAGAATCACCAGAAATGGATAATACAACAATAGTCTCAGCAACGTATTCGGTTAATGGAGTCATATTCGGCTTCTGTCTCTGTCACGAAGCTGTAAGGTGATTCGTTAACCAATTAATTATTTTCCACAGAACAAACTAACCCTTAGCCATAAATATCATTCTGACTTTTGGGGTTTGAAATAAATGTCTGTACCAGAAGACATGGAATCGACTAGTTAACATGTTCCAGTGTCCGACTTTTGTTTCATCATCCATGTAATGCAGACCCTAATTGACATTAAAATATCTTTTTATCTGGTTTCAAAATTCCATGAACCTGGCATCTGAGTTTCGTGTATGCATCGTATTAACAACATTATCTACATATGTTCATCGTATAGCAGGTTCAACAATCGTTCTTCAACACGATATTTGTGAAACATGTGCTGTAGAAATGTTTGATGTAATGCCTGGTTTTTGTCATTTTTTTTTTTACAAAGTTGGAGAATTTACAGACAATAGGATGGTTTACAATTAGCAAAACAACTTGGCGTTACAATCTTTTTTTTAAACACAATTTGGTGAATGCCTTTTTATTGTGAGTAACTATATGTTTTAAGTTTATCCGTAACGATAAGAGTGAGTGTAGAAGGGGGAGACATTTACGACCTTCACACCAAGTGAATAGATCCGCCGAAGACATAGGTTTGACCACCACTATGAAACTGTTTTAACAGGTTAAAATGAACGGTTGAGCTTAAATAATATTTATTTATGCGTGATTTAGAGCTATAGGGGGGGTGGGGTGGATGGCCGAATGGTTAGCGTGTGCGCGCTGTATCAAAAGGTATGTCACTGAGTCAACTGGTGTGGTTTCTAATCCCCGGTTGTACGTGACAAGGAGTAGGGTCGCCTGTCCAACCTCGTGGGTTTTCTCCGGGTCCTCCGGACTCCTCCCACTGCTATAGACCTCACGCGCAAGCGAATTATTGAAATAAAATTGAACAATATGTTAGTCCCGAAACGACCTAGTTTGTGTCGTGTGGACGTTAAGCCTCATCTCTCTCTCTCTCTCTCTCTACAAACTACAATATTGTGAAATGAAAAATGAAATGGGGTTTAAAGTATCACTGGGCTAATGAAGACGGGTATTGTGAAAGATGGATCTTTAATAGGAATATCCATGCAAAAATGGCTCAACGACATTCAGAATGTACAAATTTACATAAAGTGGAATTGTAATTCCGTCGATCTATGCTGCTTCGCTATGTAATAGGCCCGCCGCCAATTTGTTTTCGCGAGAATTTATTCGTGGGCCTGTTTTAAATCCGATTGAATTCAAGCCAGGACATTATCTAGCGTTAGTATTTTGAGTTTGATTTCTTGATTAAATATTAAATAATAAATCTGAGTGCATATTAACGTGGATTAAGCCATGAGAAAATTGATATTTTAGCGAAAAATGCAAATGGCGCATCGTTACTTTAATATAAAAATTTACTTGCTTAATAGGATACCTATAGAACCTATTTACAGACGTAAAATAAATTAAAATAAAATAGAAAATCAAAGCATAATCAATAACTATCAGGGCAATATTTCTCATAAAATAGAAAGCTATTAGTAGGTGCAGGGGGGGGGGGGGCTGCACGACACATATTATACAAGACAAATCTACGGACAAGGCACAATATACCTGGCTACTCCAGACCTGTTTAGATGTTTTACTACCTATGATTAAATCTATCGTCAATACATCCCTATCAACATCTGAAGTCTCAATGATGGCGTCTCCTCTATTGAAAAACAACAGAACCACTGCCCTAGTCCTGTTGGATTTGAGCGCAGCGTTCGACACGATTGATCAGTCGGTGCTACTTAAACGCCTATCCTCCAGACTAGGTTTTAATGGTGCTGCACCAGACTGGTTCCAGCCATATCTTACTGGTAGAAAGCAAGAAGTTATCGTCGACAGCATAAGATCTAAGCCAAAATGTCTTCGCTACGGCGTCCCACAAGCATCAGTACTCGACCCACTGCGATTTATTTCCTACACCACACCAGTTACCGACATAATGCGAGGCATGTATAGAAGACCTTCGTAATTGGGTGAAGTCTAACTTCCTCAAGCTCTATGATGACAAAACGGAGGCTATCTTCTTTTCGAAAACAAAACTTTGAGAAAGAGCCTTCTGTTTCGCCTCCCCCCCAAGAATGGAATAAACTGACTCTTTTCATTAAACAGAAGAATCTCAAAACACAATATTTTAATATGGCTTTTAATCAGTGATTCAAATATTTTTAAGTGCTATAAACTGAGTTTTACTTTTAAATTTTAAGGAGTGTTTTAAGTGATTTTAAACATTAATTTGTGCGTCACTGAGTAGTTTTAGTGAATGTACCAGCGCTATACAAGATGAATTATTATTATTATTATTATTACAGACATCACAAACAACAGTGATAATCTGCAAAATCAAAAATTATTAGGACTATATTTTGTGTAAAATAGGGCATATTATATAATAATTCACTGAATGCTACCTTTATTGCCCTGTTGAGATATCAATAGAGGGCATTTAAGAGATTAGAATATAGAAGATGAACCAGTAACAAAGAAAGGTATCAAATATTTAAAGAAAAACTGCATAATTTTCTTTTTCTTCTATTTTATCATGAGCATAAATCCCGCAAATATATGAAATGACTTATTGAGCTTGATTTCCTTTTAAACTATTTTGATAACAATCTATTTTGTTAGGTTTTTTTTTAAAAAAAAAACAACAGATTTTACATGCTGTCTTCTAGATTCTACAAAGCTGATTTTCTCATTTAAAATCCCTGAATTCTTTCTCATGTCATTTTGATGTATGACTTTAACACGATGCCTGACATGCTGAGCTGACATTTACAGGGATTTTTTAAAGAATGGTGGCAGCTTATTTCGAGTTAAGCATCTAAAACGGTTTTACTAAAGTATCAGTATTGCTATTGTTCTCAGTCTGTCGTTATTGACTGTGTGTTAATTAGTTGACGCTAACCTCTAGATCCTGGAGCAACACATGTTCTCGGAATTAATTAAATGAACAGTAGCCAGCCGGAAGGTTCTTCACTCCATTTCATATAACATCAAAAGGGCATTTTTTGTATGGTAAGATTGAAATTTACTGATTACTATCGATTTTCCAACTTGTTTTCTGTATATGCGTTTATATTTTCTGAAATGAAATGGGGTTTAACGTCCTACTTTTCTGCTCAATCCGGGCTATGTTGTTTGTGAATGCTATGGTGTCTAGAAAAACAAATCTTTTATTTTTCTATTTTAACCCTCAAATTTGGGCACTGGACGAGTTCTAATAGAATTGTTTAAGCACTGTGTCCGTTTTGACTTGACTAGTACCTATTAGGAGATAGTGTAGAATATAAGATTACTACAGTAAGGTTCGGTCGATAGATATCTAGGAGATGTTACTGTTAGGGGTGTCGTGGTTTCGCCTTGTCGGTGGTGTTGGTGGTCGTTTAGCTGCTGGGTGGGATAAAAACCCACGGTCCTGTGTATAACTCTGCATGCACGTAAATTAACAATTCACAGTTGGAATTTGAAATATGTGTAGACCATAGTGACGCGTTCTGGCCAGAATTTAGCTCGTGGTACTGTGCCTGGTATTCCCTTCTTCATTACTATTAGGATTAGTAGGGCAGTTGAGTGACCGAATGGTCTAACGCGTGAGCATTAGTTAGCTCACATGATCTGTCACTGAGTCAAGTGGTGAGGTTTCGATACTACAATTGTATGCCTGAATGAAATGGGGTTTAATGAAGACGGCCAACACTCGTACGTGACAACGATCCCTCGGTTTCCTCCCGCTTCTAATTGTACAATAGGTTTAATCAGTCCCGAAATGACCTAATTTGAGTTGAGTGCACGTTACCCCCCCCCCCCCGCCCCACACACACACACACACACTCTCTCTCTCTCTCTCCCAGAAAGCTGTCGACCAACGCGAGATGTTTGATACTATTTATAATTATGCTACGATTGATTGATGATGGTTTTTTGTTTTACCTGGCATATAGGTTAGCCAAAAATGATTGTGATTTTAACAGATTATGTGTAAGCAAGCTGTTGTACTATTCGAGGTGTGAGTCTATATGAAGAGGTGTTATTAATATAAAACTGTTTTAGGCTATTTACACTGTATACAACATACTATTCTATTTACTAGCCGTCAAATACCAGAGCTATAAACTATATTCATAAACGCATGACTGAAGCTTTACTATATTTTAAACTAAGCTTACGAACCGGTTGTGTTATTTAGCTCACAAGTTAAACTGGGTTATTGGGGAAATAATAAGTGGATTCAGTGTAAACTAAGGTAAAACACATTTTATTATATTATAACTTTAGCACAGTATCTGTGTTGCTTTGACAATTTGCTTTGACAATACTTCATATTTCTGTTGTTTGTAACAATAAGGAAGGATTTTTGACACAGCAGCACTGCTTCACTCGGTATACGTCCTCTGATCAAAAGGGTTATAAACCTATAGCGTGTAATCATCAAACAATGAACGCCAACAGTTCCGAGATCGTGGACTCGAGAACTGATTAAATGCGGACACAAACGTATGACAACGACAATATTCGTGGATTTGAAGTAAATTTTCTTCGTGTTGGGTAAAACTTTCCGTATTAACCCATCATTTCTCTATTGGTGAGCTAATTAACTGTTTCAGTTTTGCTCTCTAATTTCTTCTAAAAATCATGCAAAACCTAGATCTTCAGATATTCTAGTATGGATATGCACATGTAAAAATTATGATGTAGAAAAAGAACTCGTGGTTTGGCTACATACTACTTCTGTGTATTCATTTTGATTACACAAGTTATTATCAAATAATGTTTCAAATTACCTATTCAAAACGTCCCGTATCATATCAATATAGAAACCAATACATAAATCAAGTTTTATGTACTTTTGTTATATTGTGTTTCCTACTTTGAATAATAGATTCTTTGACAGTTGAAAATTAAAATAAGTGTAATCCCTCATATCACATTAGCACGGGTGGAGGTCGTGGAGCAGACAAGTAAGGCGTAAACCCCATTATATTTACTTACAATTTTCGTGTATGTAAGATTTTAGATTCAGGTGAATTGGCTGAGAATATCACGACTTCGTCTATGTGGGATGAATGTGTTTTTATTATTCGTGTAAATATAGAACTTGCAAACACGATTTCTGATGTTTTCGGAAAGTGAAACCTAACTTTATGCCATAATATGTGTGGGTTATTACGTGCTTACTTCAAGATAAGGATCTGACTTGATTTTACACTGAGCCTGTTCACCTCATATACAGATCGCGAAAAAAAACCAAACGTGATTATTATCAACAGATACTTCAAGGTAAAAAAACTTTAATGTTTAGTATTAGTGATATAGACTTTGTTTTTTTTTATTAGCGAACTAGCATTACTGAAATGTTATGTTTCTTAGAAGGTGAAAAATCTGATTGATAAGACAAGCTAAACATCCCATTAAAGGCAGCATACAAATAAATACATAACATTAAATACATGAACATAATGACAATGGGTAATAAAAAAAGAAAAAAACCCAACAGAAAACACAAACTATATTTACATGTCTATGTAAAACATGCACATCACATATACAAGGGTTATTAAAATGGAGTAAAGATACATATGTTTATATACACAGAAAATAAGTATGGGATTATCCGATTCTCTCCTTAAAGGGGTATTATAGGAGATCGCAATATGTATTCATATCCATTAAATATCGATGGCATCGAGAGTTGATTATGGTCTGGATAAGTTAATTAATGTCTAATAATTTAGATAACATTTCAGGCCTAAAGAAAGGCCTGCAATAGGCAGATATAGCTCTTGCATAATATATGTTTAAAGGCTAAATGTGAGGTTTGGGGGTTAATAAAAAAAAATATGTATGACTCTTTCTGCTTGTATTAAAAAGAAAGCACACAACAAGATATACACAAATCATATTTCATTTTTAGTATTGGGAATTTGAAACTATTTAAGTAAATGTCAAATTTCCTGCACCTTCGTGAACCCAATATGCTTTCAGGCAACTAAATTAAATATAAAGACTCAATTTCAATCCTTTAAATGTAACCCATTGGAATAATATCCCGTCTTATTACCCGATTACTGTAACAAAACGAGTTTTTAAATGTTATAATTGAGAAATGACAGGCTTCGTACTATACAGTAAGCATTTTGCGGAATCCCTTTGTTAAACATACATTATGCAAGAGCTAAATCTGCCTATTTCAGGTCTTTCTTTAGGCCTGAAATGTTATCTAAATTATTAATTAGACATTAATTAACCTATCCAGGCCATAATCAACTCTAGATGGCAGCGCTAGCCTGCGATCTTTAGTGGATTGTAAGCCGATTTCCTTCTCGATTAAACGATTAAATGGATAATCGAGACTATGCTGTTTACCGTACTGACTTTAGTAATGATGACCGAGGCTTATGGGAATTTCAGTCGCTTAGTTCTCGGTTCATAGTGGATCAATTTGAATGAAATTTTCACCAAATTGCCTTTACATTATCCAGTTTTTAACTGTTAAAGTGAGAACTGCCAACCCGTTACCGAATCTCCCATAATGTATCTTTAATAAATACATAAGAAAGTCGATGATTTTCTGATCATAAATTACTAATAGATAGTATGAGGTTATACTTGATCTTCTTAAGCCAAATGACGGTTTAATATTTGCTTATTATAGTGACCCGAAATTTGAAGAAAACCATATTCAACGGCCCTGTGTATAATTCTTGTGAATGGCAGATTGATACGAAACACACATTTTGTGTATAAATATTGTAAACCTTTGATATTTGTTATAATATGTTAACCATCAGAAGTTTGTTTGTACAAATAAATATGGTTTGTATGTGTTTATACCTGGAAACATCTTTAACCCTGTTTTTAAATCCGTATAGAATATGGAATTATGTGCGAATCATCTCAGGTGAGCTTTCATGTCGGGCGAGCTTACATCTCAGGCGAGGTACAATGTAGTCAGTAAAATATGTGCTGTTGAAACAAAGGTAAAACCATAAGTCAGTATTTCATTGAATCAAAATGCAACAAATCACCATTTTAATGAATCAAAATGCAATCAACATTTTAACGAAACCAAATGCAACAATGTACACAATAAGTCAACCTTTCCATGTAACAACATTTACAAGGTAGCAAAATTCAACCATTCCAAATTTCACTATTCCATAATTTGTTTAATGAAATTTTTCGATATGATATGTAGAATGTGTATATCTATAATATACCTTCCCTTGTCGGTCACTTATTGCAATATTCCTGGCGCTATTGACAAAAGAAACGCTCGTGGGTTCTTGCTGCTAATTAGTATGTGCATATAGGAAACAATCGACAGTGCAGGAATCAAAAGAAACATACCACTCACCGGTTATTACATTAGAACCGGGGGAACATTATAAGTCTGGGAAATGTATAACATTTGATTTTACCAAGTAAGGCACTAAATAGATTTTCGCAAAAAGACTGAGTAACGAGCTTATAATAATAAGCCACAGTAGATTGCTGATGTGTTTTCTGAGCATGGAATCAGTTATTGCCAATTTACATAACGCTGATCGATAAAGTAATAGGTTTTTTTAGGTTTAGTGTAGTGTAGGTTTAGAGACCTAGATACTGGAACTAGAACTGTCATACAGTAGCCTAGTTTTCTATTTTGTACGAGGATATATTTTACTGGTTAGCTGAGGCCGAGACAAGTTCAATGATCTAGATATCTTTAAGGATATTATAGTGCATGGATCATATTATGTATGATATTTATTCAAAGACAAACATTTGGTGTGTGCTTTGTGGTATGTGTATTTGTATTTTGGTTATCATTTAGACGACGTTGTCTTATTTTGTATATGAGAGAGGGAGGGAGGGGTGCATCAACCCGGCCAATGAAGACAGTTATGTCAGTGGCACACGACTATGGGCCTGGAAAGGTACACTGTCTGGTCGACCGGAAAGCACTAAACGCATCTTCCCGGTCGGTCCCACATAGCAGATAACGCCTGGTCGTTCGGATGAGACGAAAAACTGGAGGTCCAGCGAAACCCACTAGAAGCTCGTTATATACCCCAAGAGAGTTGAAAATCGAAATAAGAGTAGACGTATATAGCGTCATTTTACGGACAAACATTTCCCCCATAGTACCCTCCAATACGTATGGCCGTCTTTAACCCCGTTTCATTCAATTTACTATTCATATTTAATTATCAGTAAATGATGTTCCATTCCCCGTCATATTTATAACAGCAGGTATTAATTAAATGGTCTCTTTATACGACATATTATCTTAATACTGATTGTAGTAATTATATTAATATGTAAGTAATGTTTAAAGGTCAAAGCAAAACTAAAAAGATCATACGAGTGTAGCAAATTCGGTTTGTAAGTGTTGCTGGGGATCATAATATAAGCACAGACTAGCCCATCTGGGATCTGGTAGACCGTCCGTTTAAGATGAATGTCTTATACTTTGAACTATGTTAAAAGATGTTCTAGAAAGACTAAACTTGCATTATGCCGCTAGTTCAGTCCCCGCCATCAATATACTGTAATCTAGCCTTATTATATTATTATCCCCCGCCTTTCGAAGAAAGCTGGGGACTATTAAAATGAGTTCGTCCGTCCGTCTGTCTGTCTGTCTGTCCGTCCGTCACACTTTTTGGGACACAATAACACTCTTTCTAATTGAGCTAGAATGTTCAAACTTAGTGTAAGTGTTTATTAGGTCAATGCCTTGATGGAGTTCGAAGATGAGCATTTTCTGCTTAGGGTAAGCAGAGATAAGCAGTTTGATTGGTTGATAAGATAACTTTAGTTCTAATTAAGTGAGAGTGACGAAACTTTGTGTATAGTTTCATTACATCATTACCTTGACTAAGTTTGATAATGAGCATTTTCTGCTCAGGGTAAGCAGAGCAATAAGCAATTTCATTGGCCGAGACTTTGGAACACAATCACTCTCATTCTAATTGAGCTAGAATATTCACACTTGGCGTAGGTGTTTATTAGGTGAATGCCTTGATGAAGTTGGGGAGTTAGAAGATAAGCAATTTGATTGGTTGATGCTTTGGGACACGATAACTTTAGTTCTAATTAAGTGAGAGTGATGACACTTGGTGTATGGTTTTATCACATCAATACCTTGACTAAGTTCCATAATAAGCACTTTCTACTGAGGGTAAGCAGAGTGATAAGCAATTTGATTGGTCGAGACTTTGAAACACAATAACTCTCCTTCTAGTTGAGGTAGAATATTCAAACTTGGTGAATGCCTTGATGGAGTTCGGTGATAAACATAGTCTGCTTCCGGTAAGCAATCTGATTGGTTGAAGCTTTGGGGCCATTAACTTTGGTTTTAATTAAGTGAGAGTGATGAAGCTCCGAGTATAGATTCATTATATCATTACCTTGACTAAGTTTGATGATGAGAATTTTCTGCTTAGGCTAAGGACCGATAAGCAATTTGATTGGTCAAGACTTTGGAACATAACAACTCTGCTTTTAATTAAGGTAGAATGTTTAAACTTGATGTAGATGTTCATTAGATGAATGTCTTGACTGAGTTCAATGGTTAACATTTCGAGCTAAAGCTAAACAAGGGTAAGCAATTTCATTGGTCGATGCCTTGGAACAAGATAACTTTGATTCTATCTGATAGAGTGCGATGAAACTAAGTGTAAAGTTGATAATCAGTTTGATTGCTTGATACTTTTGAAACAAAATTAATATGTGTCATCTATTTATTTTGGGATTTCGGCGGGGACATCAGCCTCACTGTTGGCTTGTATTATTATGCTTCGTTTTGTTTTATTTAACTTCATTTGACTTTATTTCACTTTATTTTACATTCACGTTTTTCACTTTATTTTACATTTACTTTATTTCACTTTATTTTATATTCGCTTTATTTCACATTACTTTATCTCACTTTATTTTACATTCACTTTATTTTACTTTGTTTTACATTCGCTTTATTTCACTTTATTTTACATTCACTTTGTTTTACATACAAAGATCACGATGCGATACGACTTCTGTTTCCACAGGCTGGAGACAAGTCTGCACAGCTAACTACATTTCTGAGCGTTATAAAAAGCGTACAGTTGTTGTGAAAGATAAATTATGCACTTATTTATGTAATGGTATGCTTCCATTAGTATAGATTGGTATTATATTTTTTACATTATATAAAATTATGGTATATAGACCGGTGAATAAACCGTCTCGTACTAAGATTGTGTAATGGTGTTAATGACTATGCCAGAAAACATAAGTCATAACAACTCTACTTATAAGAAACTAATACGTAACATATACCATTCTTTAGCAAGTAGGCATACACCGTTCTGAAAAGAGAGAACCGATGCGTCTGTGCTATAATAAGTTTGTGTTGATATACGGACTATTTCTTTATAAAGACGATAGGGGTGATTATGGTTAACCACGAATTATTTTACAATTCTTTCTTTCAGATCTGGAATGGAAAGCTACTTCATGTGGTGATACTTTAAGTGGAAATAGGAAATAGAAGTATTGTGTTAAGGATTCTCCATTCCAGAGTCGGTATTATGAATGATATCTAAAGTGAGACCTTGTAGTTACTTGCGCCGATATTGCTGAAACCGCTAATTTACCAGTAGTAGAAACCGTAGGATCTTGAAATTAGATTTCTATTAGTGAAATTGGTACAGTTTATTCTACAAAATATTTACAGTAACACAAAGTGTTATTTAGTCTAATTAGAGTGTTTAATCATCTTAAGTGTTAAAGGTTAGATTCCGTTACCTCGAATTTAATGGTTTCAATTACGATAACAGATATTTTGTGCTGAAGGCTATCTGTTAAATAGTCATTAAGTTTTGGGGTCTTTTTTAAGGAGTAACAGGTGGATATCGTCTTACACGACAATATAACTGACTGTGTGTAATGTGTTAATATTGTGCCATATTTTAGGATTGTGATAAAGAATTGTTGTAATCGTGATACTGTTGTGGTTATTTGCATAACTTTGTTATTTAATTTAATTTAATTCTCCATTTGGTTAGAGGATATTATAATCATGATATACACCACCATTTTACACATTCTGTTTTTCGCCTACACAGTTCATGTAATTAGATCTCATCCTCAATGTTTAGATTTCAAATCGCCATTTTTACCTAGTCAAGCTCACCAGTTTTGTTCTCAATATTCAGATTTCGGATGTTGTACGAAAAGAGATGATGAACACCTTAAAAACAAATTCGAAAATATAAGATCGCGTGTTCGGTCTTCTACGTGGAACCGTTGTCAAGGTATTCTCAAAGAACTGATTTGCCAAAATTGCTCCCCCTATGCTGCTCATATTTATGGGGTGGAAGACACAAGGGGCGATAATCCCTTCCCTGGTCTGTGCAGGAATTATTGTGAAACATTGTATGACAATTGTCGAGAAATTGTGCCATTTATTGACGCTGAACTTGGTAATCGAGTCAATTCTTTGTCTAAGAATGCGTTTTGTGAGAAAGTAAAGAACGCGGACATAGATTATTGTTATCCAGACCTTCTACAGAATCCAATTTTAACGGGGAACGTTTCCAACACACAAATAACTAGCGAAGGATGTTTGTGTTTAGAAGAATATTTTACAGATTTGAGAAATCCAATTTTTGCCAGAAGTCCACCAGATGGCAGCAATCGGATGTTTATTGGCGAACAGATTGGGCTGATATATGTGAGTTACCCGGATGACAGGGACATTCTCCCACAGCCGTTTCTTAATATAACACAAAAAGTCAAAACTACAGCAAATGAGGGCGATGAAAGGGGACTATTTCAAATTGCCTTCCACCCAGAATTTTTGTCAAATAATAAGTTTTATTTATATTATTCCACACATTTACATTATTCGGAATATTTATCCCAAGAGGAAGAGAACAGAACTGGAATACCTAGAGATCACAAAGTTCGGATCAGTGAGTTTGTCGTGTCGGAGTTGGATGAGAATTTAGGTGACCCGATGTCAGAACGAGTCATAATCGAGATTTATGAACCATATTGGAATCATAATGGCGGAGAGGTGAGCACATAATGCATATAATGTCAGTTGTCAGGATAATAATAATAATAAGTCAATGTCCATGTTTTGAAACATTACAGAATTTCAGCTATGCTCGGATCTAGTGTTCTTTGAAAATCTATTTGAAAGTAGAAAAGATGATTGAAATTTTTATCAGAAAAGATAATCAGAAGCTGTCCCACGCTTTGATTTTTGAGGACTCGAGCTGTTTGATGTTTATAGATTAGTATAGACAAATTGTCTATCCTGGAAAAAGATTACCGGGGTATGAAAATATTCAAAACGAGTTTTTAGTTTAATGTACAATATTTTTTTTTCCAGTTATTTTTTGGTGATGATGGGTTTCTGTATATATTTGTCGGGGATGGTGGACACAGGGAAGATCCATTCAACTTTGCTCAAAACAAGTAAGTGCACGTGAAACGCATTAGCTGCGCCCTTTGATTGGTGGAGGCGGGTCAGCAGGGTAGAATTTCTATTTTTAAGATTATCCAACAAACGTAAAATACGACGTAGACGTTGAAATAAAATAGCTCAGAAATATGTTTGTATTATAAACTATGCCAGCAATAACCGAAAATGCATCTAATGGTGTGTCATCGCCGTTCATTTAAAGAAATTAATCAGTTCAGAATATTTTTTTCTATTTTTGTATGTGCTCACCTTTCATTAATAAATCCATACCGTTATCTGAAAATGTATTTTCTGATAACACCCATGCTCATTAAATTATCTCTTTAAAATTAATTCAGGATATTTTTGGATAACCTTATCTTTCTGGGTGTGCATACTTTATTTAACGGATCGTTTATTAAAGCAAATTATTACGATAATATTCCCCAGAGAGACAAAAATCTTTCAGGTTAATTATTTTCAATAAAAAGATAAGCGTATATTTATCACTGAAGATAAATACAATTTCTTGCTTTAATGATTAAAAAACGTTCATTGGGGATAATTGATTCACAGTAAACGCTGTAATAGCCTATGATATTCATTATATCGGAAAAGGTTATAGACATAGAGCAAGTATCTTTTCAAAAAGATAGCCAGGCAAAGCATGGGAATACATCCACACAGCAGCTATGTCTCAATAAAAATGGACCTCCATATATAGGCAGTAGGAAAGGAAAACGGGGATGTTAACAAAATTTGACCAGGATCTTGTATGCCTTCAAGAAATCTCTTTGGTGTTCACAAGCCTTTTCGGACACGTAAAGCATATCTGGAAGAGAAAATCATAGCATACTAAAATTCAACAGGAATCATCCTCTCCGATGCCAATGCTTAACACGAAATTTGAAAATCAACAGGGTTCACTCCATCACGCTCCACCAAATGAAAACAATCTGTTCCAACTGTAGCTTCTATCACATTCAGGAAATTTGAAAATCAATAGGGTTCACTCCCTCACGAACCGAATGTTTCACCAAATGAAAACAATCTGTTCAAACTGTAGCTTCTATCACATTTACATGGTTTTCGGGAAAGGGGGTATAACTGTGAAAAGGAGGCTTTACATTTGCGGAAAATGTTGGGTTCGTCTTATAACCCTAATGCTTCACGCCAAATATGACAGAAATCCGATAGAAACTGTAGCCTAAATTGTGTTCACAAGGTTTTCGGAAAAGGGGTGAGGCGGTAACTCTGGAGCGGAAGTCGCGGAACAGTTGAAATATTGATTGGGACCGCCCTCTGACAGTTTTATATGCCCACACTGCGCGTATAAAAATAAATACCAATTCTTTTATGAGTATCGCACATACAATATTTAAACAGAGTGGTTAATTTTGTAAACTTTGAAACAACCCAATTACTGCTATTTCCTGGGCAGCTGTCTGATTGTACCTAAAATCGCGTTTTTAGCTTGTGGTCCCTCTAAAGGTCACAATTATTATCCGATTTAATACACCGTTCAAATATATCACCGTTGTTTTCGAATTTCATGCTACCGGGCCGAAACTGCCCGCTTCTTGTAAGTAAATAGTGTAAAAGTATGGAATATTAAGGATGTGGACCCTCTAGAGATTACAATTTTGATCTGAGTTTGATGAAACTTAAAAGTTATGTTTATATCCGAAAGATCTCGGTTTCTTTCGATATTCGCGCATATCTGAACGTAACTACCTGGATTCTGGCCCTGATTATTCGAAAAATCGCCTTTTAGCTTGTGAACCCTCTAGAAGTAACATTTTTTAAATTCAATTTTAAAAACCGTTAAAATATATCACTGTTACACTCTTATGATGGTTAGTTTGAATTTCGTAAAAAATCGGACCCAAACTGCCCAATAAATTTTTAGCATGATCTCTGTCCATCTCTTGCAAACTACATGGCAACCATTTGTTGTATGAGAAGGAAGTTTGTTTCAGATCTGTCAGTTAATTCGATCACTATTGTATGAGATTACAACATACATTTCAATCGTTGGAAGCCATGGTGACTCAGTGTATAAGACACTGGCTCGCTAACCAGAGGTCTCGGGTTCGCTACCGGTGTTGGCCGGGGGGTCTGGCAAGGGATGATGTATAGACGTTCGGATGGGACGGAAAACCGTGTACACATTGACAGGCATGTGAAAGAACCCTTGACAGTTGGAATTCGGTATAAGTAGACCGTAGCGCCGCCGTCCGGGCAACATGTCCCTCATACACACTGCGTGTTGTATGCCCGTCTTCCTACTGCAGACTGCATAAAAGTAGAACGTTAAAACCTCATTGCACTTAATTTCATTTCATTTCAGATCTGTGTTATTGGGAAAAGTGTTACGTCTAGACGTAAATACTGGAGATGATAATATACCATATTTAATACCCCGTGACAACCCATTTAGACAAACAACCGGAGCCCGACCTGAAATATACGCATACGGTGTTAGAAACATCTGGAGATGTGGTAAAGATGGCGGCGATAAAATAACCGGTATTTATTTGATTTCTTTAAAATAGAATACTATAAAATAATATTATTAATAGGGAAGTATTCCAAAGTTTGTCAGAAAAAACGGTTATACCAGCTTTTTCTGTGAGACTTTCTCATATGTAGATTGCTGTTGCTGGGATTTGTCCATTACTTACGAAAACTTCAATTACAATATCTTAAATAATCAACCTTTTTATTTGTTAAAACCCTGGTACACATTTCAGCGTTTCAAACAAAAAGTAACGGTATATAAGATATTATGATAATAGTGAATCCATGACACAGAATAGTTTTGGCACAACTAAATTCCCCACACCAATAAAAAGAGTCTTTATGCATGTGTTATTATTGTAGGATCTGGGAAAGGACGAGTAGTCTGTGGTGACGTAGGGCAGGATAGTTTTGAAGAATTAGATTTATTAAAGAGGGGAGCTAATTATGGATGGAATATCTGGGAAGGTACTGAATGTTTTGGAAGTGAACAGGCCTGTCTGATACATGGTAAGCTGGATCTAATATTTATTTACTAAAACTGGGTAATTGTGTTATTCTAGTATCAAGCAACTATCTGAAGCCCAATTGTCCGGTGTCACGTTGGGTAGAAGATTTCTTGAGTAGGATGTTGTATTGATTGTACATGGATATATATCTTCCACTATAATTTTTTGTTTCCTAGTGAGGAATATACTTTTGCAGGTTGTTACCTTGTATCAGTTATACCATAGCAATGTTTATAAACGGTATATTAATGAAACACATAAGACGAGACCTCTAAAGGAGAAAAGACCTTCTCCTATATACACCATTGTTTCTTTCTGCTTATGATGAATTTTTTGATGAGAGTTTCAATATCTTTCCTACAGATAACTTAAATTTACAAATGTATTAAGGGTTCATCCATTGCGCTTCCTAGATCACAATAAAAACGCCTCACGTCATCTTATTATTAAACAAAATCTGATGTGAACACCTGACGCATTGACCTAATTACTACCCCTGTATCTTTAAATTCATCACAGGTAGTTTAGAAGAACCGATTCATTTTTATCCTCATGCTGTTGGTAAATCAGTGACTGGTGGCGAATTTTATAGAGGTTGTGAAAATCCTAATTTAAATGGTCTGTATATATATGGCGATTTCATGTCCGGGTAAGATAATATTTTCATCGCTCTCATTGCCAATAAACATAAATAAAACATATTTGTGTGTCTGTAAAACCATGTGTTATATTATAAAACCACTGTGGCGTGGGGGCACTTGTAAAATAATCCACTACCCTCTACTGCATATTTCTTTAGATTGGCAACCGTGGGAATAAAGTCGATAAACGTATACCCTGAAAAAGCTTACGTTTATGCAGTTATATGGACCGGAACTTGATGAGCAGTCAAATATATTCTATTTAACGCTGCACCGTGCGTATCTAAATACTAAATATTTTATCAAAGGGGCATTATGGGTGATTAGATAAAGAAAAAGAATTGAATTGAATTGAAATATGGTTTAACGCCCTACTGTTTGATTGATAAAGAGCTGACGGTTTTCACTATAATAGTTAAAAATAGATAACGTAAAGAGAATATGATGAAAATTTCAGTCAAATTGCTCCACTCTGAACCGAGATTGAATTTTAGGCCTAGCCTCGATCATCATTACTAAAGTCGGTACGATAAAAAACAAAGTCTCGATTATCCATTTTGACGTTAAATCATCCACCACAAAATGTATTTAAATCCAGTAAATATCGCAGGCTAGCGATGGCATCGAGGTTTGATAATGGTCTGGATAAGTTAATTAATGTCTAATTGATAATTTAGATAACATTTCAGGCCTAAAGAAAGATCTGCAATCGGCAGATTTAACTCTTGCATAATGTATGTTTAATAATCAATAGGCATTACGTTTGAAAAAAAATAGACCCCGACTGCATATCTTTGTTGATAAATTATTAGAAAATCTGATATACATGTAGTTATATCTATAATGTTGTAGCCGATTATTTGGATTGAGGGAAGACAGCAGTACAAGAAAATGGACGAATAAAGAATTATTTATGTGTGGGTCTGATATTTGTAAAAATGGTTTAACTGGTCAATACGAGCAGTATATCATCTCCTTTGGTACCAGTTCAAAAGGTAAATGACAAACATATACTCATATAAAGAAAACGGTTGACACCACTTTGCTATGTCGATCATTCTAGACCGTTGTTATACTATTACTACATTCGAGATGAAAGGGGGGGGGAGAGGGGGGGGGGGGGAGAGGGAGAGAGTTTAACGTCCACTCGACACAAACTAGGTCATTTCGGGACTAACATATGGTTGTGCGGAGGGGTCTTTAGAATACCCACGAATTTGGACAGGTGACCCTACTCCTTGTCACGTACAGCAGAGGAATCGAAACCATGACAGACCTTATGATACCAAACCATTCAGTGATACCCCCACCCCAACCCCCGAGATATGATTGATAGACCACGAAAATAGGATAATAATTTTATTTAATGATTTATTTTAAAAACAGTTATTTACATATCGATTTTGTTATTACTGAATTAACCTTTCCCGATTTTAAAAGTTCAAAAAGTATTGTGAAGTTTAAGTAATTACTAGTTTATTTTCAACTTACCATGTTTAAGTTTGTACATTTATAATGCATAACAATATTAAGCAATTTTAAAAAAAAACCAAATATACAACACACATTGCATTTTAAGACAACGTAGTTACTTTTCAAGAAAGTTTCCAATGCTAAATGAAAAACAAGGGGGGGGGGGAGGTAACGTCATACGCTGCTTCTTCAACCGGGCTAATGAAGATGGGCATGCGCCATCAGTGTACTACGAAACCGGAATATGAAGGAATTTTGTTCGGTTATTGTACGCGCCCACCTTAAAGTTTATGTCTGTATGGCATGCATTACACAATTTACGTTATATTTATTTTACAGATGAACTGTTTATGTTAACGACAGGAAAAGCTAAAACTAATAAATATTTAGGATCTGTTTTAAAAATTGTTGATCCAGCCAGGTGGGTAAACTTGAATTCTGAATTACAGTTCTCGGAAAACCAATGGGCTGAAGGGTTCTCCTATTGGGTTTTAAATCTTTACTCCCCGGTGACAAAAGTTATATTATTGACTGAGATAAATCTAAAAAAATGTGAACGCTTTGAAAAAGACGATAAGAAGTGGGTTTTTTTATACATGCATAATTTAATCCTCAGTAATAAGTGGATTTATTGTGAAGATATTGCTCGGATGTTTATTACACATTTTTTATTTAGATAAAAACCATATTTCTTTTAATTAAATTATAACTTCCTTTACCATTCCAGACGGGGAAATCCAGAAACTTGTGAAGCTGGTAGAACAAATCGTAGATTAAATGTCGTAAATGGTGAGCAATTTCATAATACATTCTTAAATTTGGTTAATAATGGCTGTCATTTAAGAAGACCGTAATAGCCCTGGCCGCCTTTGTCTGGGCGGATTTTAATTAAATATAATTTAAAAATCCATGAACAATAAAGGCTTTAAAGGTCACATTCACAAGGGTTATGTTTTCCCTAATGATATGTTAATATTTATGGAAGTACAAAGCATAGATATCCTTTTTGTTGGGAAGCAAAATGGTTTGATTGACAAATAAATTAGATCAAAGAAATAAGCCACCGAAGAATATAATATAGGCCAAATTAGTACACAGCGTTTTAAGATGGTCAAGAAAGATACCCATCCATATGCGTTCACAAATAACGTGATTTGAAGTTGAAAGGCTTTCGCTTACACAACTTGTTCGGCCCACAACTTAATGTGTCACATTCTAATATAGTGCTAATTTGAGCTAATTCTCAATGAGCTGATTATAAGTTAGATTTTTAATTTATTTATTTCAGATAATACCGGCACAGTCAGTGATGCCAGTGGCACAACAGATCCCAGAAACTCAAGTCCTTCAATTAATAACCTTAATATTAGAACGTGTTCTATGACGTCAACATTTATCTGTACACTCATGGCGTTACGATCCATATGACTATTTTACTAACTCACCTGGTACAGGAATCACCCGACATCCACGACTATATTTGTATACAGTTATCTTTTTTTTCTGACGTTATACATCCTCAACACGTTAAAATTTAGATTGTCTGCCTGGTATTAGAATAGTATCTAAGACCACAAAAGACAAGTTCAAGTCGCTGATCATCATTTGCATTTTTCGGACAATATAATTTTATGGATTCAATTTTCACATTAATGTAGTTTACAAAGGATTAAAACAATCCTGAATAACGACCAGTGGCTTTAATGTATATTGCCAGGCCCTTAAACAATAGCTAGTTGACTAATCTATGGCCATTAGGAGGAAACTGACTATAGTTCAGTTATATTTTCTACCAAAGATTTACAATAACTGTTTTATAATTACTTATTTTCTTCTGTTTTTGTAACCTGTACATCATGTCCCAACCTTTGTATGTAACATTGAAAATAGTGCCCAGCTTGTATTTTAGCTAATCTCAACGGGGGTTGTTTTAAAGGGAGATACTGCGAGAAAAAAACCTTGAAATTGATTAATTTACTGGAGATCATGACTTGTACATATGAACTAAGTTAAAATTATTGTTTAATGTCGACTGATTAACTATATTCACATCCATCATTATGTATTAATTCATTTTAATTTATATTGAGTATTATTTCACATCTGCTTGTCAGCTTTTGGTTGGATCTGAAAGTTTTAGTTTAGTCAGATACTTTTGCCTTAGTTAAAATCAGAATTGTTTTAAATCCTCTCCTTACGGATTATATTCCTTGGGTATTTTACCAGACTTAATTTTAGAAAATCAGAACCGTAAAAACGTAACGAAATATAGTTATAATTTTAATTAGATTGCCGCATTCACAACATTGAACTAATCCTTAATCCTATCCAGGGCTTCATTGTGCGATTGATTTAAGATAAATGTGTTTAATCTACTTGCATAATCATATTGCTATATTAAATCTTAGATTGTATTTATGTGTATATCGGAGTAGCGAGATATATGTGAAAGAAATCCAGGAATATACACTTTCACTTCTACTTTGTTGTACTTTTGTATTTTGTGCCCATTGGCTAGCTTGCTGATTTGCCCCAATAATAATTAGGAAATGATTAAAAAGAACTAACGTTGCTGCTATTCAAATAATACGCAACTATATTCTGGAACGTTGAATAAAACCGTTGGTTAGGTAACCAGTGACAAGACGATACATAAACCGTGTTTTGGTTGTGAAGAGTCCGAACCAGTGTTTAAAAACCGAAAGATTTCGGAACATCTTAAAATATTTGTTATTTCTATGCGCATTTATTCAGCTTAGTCGACCAGTGAACTACCCCACTGCGTCATTCAATATTTGATATACGTATTTAAGCATAATAATACAAACTTTATATGGCGACTTGCAAAATTAGCCATAATCTGCCTTCCGTTGGAATATGGTCTTATTTGAACTTTTCCTGTTCACTAGTATATTTACTGCGACAGATATCAGTTGTTAATGGTTCAGATCTTCACGTGTGTGCCTTTTCTTTTGATTTGAACAACAAAATCTTGACAATTTTAACACGCAATACATGTACTTTATTACAAATGAATTGCTCACCAATGTGTTCAATAAATTAATATACTATAAATCTCTGTGCTCCATTGTTTGAAATGAAATGTGGGTTAACGTCCCACCTTTCTACACCAACTGAAGGGTGGGTGGGCTACGATCAATTCAATTGCCACTGTCAATGGTTCTACAAAGGAAAGTGTTAGCAAACAATCTGTAGATATAACCATGAATGTCAATTTGTGGGCAACACCACTGTCGTGCAAATCTAGAATCAACAAATCTACCAACAACTACTTCAGTTATAATTGTGAAGAAAGGGAACTAATATTTCATAATGGATTTTTGCAGTTGGGTTTAGCGTTTAGGCTTGGTGCACCCAGCTCGCCCCTCGAGGCTGCGAACACTTTACCTAGTCCACAACAACTAAACAGTCTTCTACTCAACCATTCAACTGCATTTTTCAAGCTTAATCCTTTTCCCACTGGAACTTAGACGAACTGGGGCTTATAATTTCGGACTTGTGTCACATTCAATATTTTTTTACCTTCTTCCTCCTTGTGGATGTCCTTATCAACCGTATAAATGAAATGGAATGGTATTTAACTCTTAACTGTTCCATGTTGACTCTTATAACGTTATTGTTAAGTACCCGTTTCGACAGTCGGTCCTAGTGTAATGGGAGTTACTTCCCTTATTAGCAGACCACTTCGAATTACTTGCTTACACCCTATCCTGATCGACATTTTGACAACTAACAATCATACTTTTTCTTCTTGATGAAATATAGTAAATTCGTGTAATGTTCGAAGGAAAATTTCCTGTAAATGACGTATTAATAAAAGTCTATATTGAACGACTCTGATTGAGATTTTATCGGTACTTCCGAGATCTATTGAAGATTTTGATAGTTCTGTGTTAGAAATGAAATGGGATCAACGTCTTCAGTGTTATATCTTGTCAATGTTGTTCTGCTGATTCCATAATCTTTAGCAGTAGTACATAGGGATTTGTTTTCAAAAATCACTTCTTCTACAGCTATTCTCGTTGTTTCCGCATTAAACATTCCGCTGCCCGTCTTTCTCGTTTTATTTCTTAGCTCTAATTTATAAATTTGAAACCTATCATATTGACATGATCAGGACCTATAAGCCATGCCCTGCAGGTCGCCCATCGGTCCTCACTACATTAAAAAATATATTTAGCTTTATTAACTGTAGGGTCAGTCACTGTGGCATTTTATTTTATTTGCAAATCCTATAGATACCTAATGGGCATATATGTTGGTGTAAAGCACATTTTGATGACATTTACTTAGTTTGGGGCATGAAAACTACTGCAAAGTATTAAAAAAAAACTTTTACTAAGATTAAACTTACTTGTAAGACTATGATGTTGATGGCACTCCGGGCATAATAGCAATGTCTTCTAGGCTAGGTAACATAATGATGACCAATAGAATTTGATTTTGCCAGTCACATGGTGGTCAATCGGTCACACATGCCCATTGGTTCCCATTCTCCCCACTTTAGTTATACTATTTTCAACTAATTGTAGACATGTTCTATCCATGACAACCCACTGTTAGGCCTACGTTGCAAATACAACTTGTTTCATTTAAAACACGTTCCATTTATAACGTGTCGCCATCTGTGAAATACAATTTATATTTATTGCATCTTATTTATATATACATGTAAGAGGTATTTTGAAACCGATTAACTATTTCGTTTTGTACATGACATAGGTCTCGAGTTGGTATTCGAATCGGTTTGGGTAAATGCGACAAGTTGTCTCGCAAGATGGCTGGCTGAAGACTGAAGAATTGAGAAAAAATGTTAACCATAGGTTGCCAGGCAAGATACGCCGAGAGTTTTCAAGAGATGGATAGAGAACAAGCTAAAAAAAAAGAAACGATTTTTCGTAAATCAGGGTCCATAATCCAGGAAATTGTGGTCTGAAATGCGCGAATATCGAAATGGACCGAGATATTTGGGATAAAAACATATATTTTAAGCTTCATCAAAACCGGATAAAAATTGTGACTTCTAGAGGGTCCACAACCTTGGTATTGCATACTTTTACACTATTTGCGTACAGGGAGCAGCCATTTTGTCAGGCGGTTTCAGTCAGATTTTCACGAAATTCGAACCGTTATTAGGATGTAACGGTGATGCATTTAAACGTTTTTTTTTTAAATCGGATAAAAATTGTGACCTCTAGAGGGACCACAAGCTAAAAACGCGATATTTCGTACAATCAGGGGCCATAATTCAGGATATACGCGAATATTGCAAGGAAAGAAGATATTGGGTTTATAAACATGCATTTCAATTTTCATCAAAATCGGATCAAAAATGTGACCTCTAGAGTGTCCACAAGCTAAAAACGTGATTTTTTGTACAATCGGGGGCCATAATCCATGAAGTTATGGTCCGATACATGCCAATATCGAAAGGAATCGGGATCTTTGGGAGATAGACCTATATTTCAAGTTTCGTAAAAATCTGATAAAAATTGCCACCTGTAGAGTGTCCACAAACAAATTGTGAACGGTAGACGTCCGATACATGACGTCCGTTATGGTCCGATACATGCCAATATCGAAAGGAATCGGGATCTTTGGGAGATAGACCTATATTTCAAGTTTCGTAAAAATCGGATAAAAATTGCCACCTGTAGAGTGTCCACAAACAAATTGTGAACGGTAGACGTCCGGATGGACAGGGGCGATAATATACGTCCACATGAAAATGTGGGCGTATAAAAATAAAGATTTGTGAGGATTAGAAAAACTCTTTTTTCTAAAACATTCCCTTCCAAAAATGTGTCAGTTAATGACAGGGATGAAAATAAGATGGCTAAATCGTCAGCTCGTTCAGGAGCAATCCTTTAATGTTAAGCTTAATCGTGAAATTCAAAAGTGTCAAAACAAAATCAGATTTATTATTAAATTTATTGGAAAGTACTAATGAAAACCATCGTGAAAGTATAGAGGAAAACCATGAATTAAGCCAGCTCAAGCAGGAGAGCAACCTTTGGCAAAAGAACAACAAATATTACTTAAAGTGAATGCAGTAAATTTCAACAAAACAATTAAACGAATGGGTAAGAAAAGTTGAAGGAAAAGAAAGAGCAAGTTGAAGAAAAAGAAAGGGCAAATAAACGAAATAGGAGTCTGAATCCGAATCAAAAAGCCAACAAATTGATTCGCTTAAAGCAGAAATGCGTAATCTCTTTGTAAAGATATGTAGACTGAAAAAGAGGACTGCTGATGATAGTTCTTTTGAACATATGGTTTCCGAATTACTAATTTAGAAAGAAGAAATTAATCCGAAAAATGAATGAATTTTAGAATTAGAAGAGCTATATGATTTCATAAATTCTGAGCATATTGAAAGCTTTTACAATGGGAAATTTTCGAATGAAATCCGGTAAACAATGACTTTGTGCACAAAATGCACATAAGGTCAATGACGCCATCAGAACGGTTGTTCAAACTTTGACAGGAAAAACATTGTCTCGTTTACCAAGTGCAGGTGTAAGATCTCTTTTATTTATTGAAGCAAAACCTGTGCAGATTGTTGATGTCATGCTCAGAGAAATTAGTGAGCTTCTGCCCGGTTATTGTCTTCATCAAGATGGCACTTCAAAATTTGATAGGCATTTTCAATCGATTCAGGTCACTTCTAAAGACACGGATACTTATTCTCTTTGCTTTGACAGAAATTGGTTCTGCTGATGCCGTTACTTTGGTCGAGACCTTTAAAGCACAAATTTCAGATCAGCCAAAATGTTTGAAAAATGACGACAAAATATCTTCAAAGTTAATTTCCAGTATAGTTGCAACAATGCCAGATCAAGGTTCTGTAAATCGACAACTGGGGGAATTTAAACAATCTCTGCTGCCAGATGCGATTGTGATTAAAGAGAACATGTTGGTAAAATAGCATCTTTCTATTGTAAAATGCATCTATTTTTTAACACGGCAAGTGAGGTTGATAAATGTTTAGCAGTATTTGAATAAAGTATTTGTAATGGGAGTAACCCCATTTCTTTGCATAATAGGGAATGTGGAGCGACAAGATTGGCACGTACTGCTGCCAGTAAAGCATTTACAAAACATGGCTGTGAAAAATCTGGGGTGGCTTCGCAATTCCTAACAGGCGTTTCTTCTAAATGATAACTTCCAGAGGTCACCGCTTTAACCACCTTTTCTTTGCTGTTGGAACTACATATCATTTGAATGACATTCAATTTCTTGATTCTTGGTTAGATCCAAATGATCTTTTAAAAAGAAAATGCATATTATTTGATGTGCGTGAAATATGTTTATCAGTGCTCTTGGCATCATCGACAAGCTGATTATCGGTCCTTTTTGGCGTATTATTGAGTCGTCTGAAAACATCCTTTCGCTTACGTCTGTGTTAAAACATTTGTAGACTAAACTTGCAGAAATTTCCACAGATGGCTCGTGTTTATTGAAAGGGGGTGGGGGTAGTTATTCCCGATGAAATAATTAACAGAGAGGAAATATACAACTCGTATTTTCACAATTTCAGAGATGATCCAGTGTTAAGTTGCGTGCACGATGGCAGATGAACTCTATACAGGTGGTATGTTATTGATACTAGGGCGATAAGAGGAGTGTTTTCCTCACCATCATCTTTACCTACAACAAACACCTGTTCAGAGCGAGACTTTGCTCAGTTAGACATAGTGATGCGTCTGAAATCATGTCACCACATCCTTGGAATCAATAATAATTAATGAACTAGCAATAAATTTATTACAAGTAATTACAACTGGGCTCGAGGTAAACCATTTTCAATTATTGAACTGGACAATTAATGAACTAGAAAAAGAATTATTACAGGTAATTACAATTAATGAAGATCTATGGGTTATAAACTTACATTTCAAGTTTCAACAAAATCGGATAAAAATTGTGACCTCTATAGGGTCAACAACCTTGATATACCATATTTTTACGCTATTTGAGAACGAGGGGCGGCCATTTTGTCAGTTTTGGGCCGATTTTCACGAAATTCGAACTCAGTCGTGCTTAGGGAATAACGC